CAAACTGAAGGAACAGTATGTACAGAAAATATGCTCAGAAGAATTTCTGTAACATTTGTTCACACCAGAAGCTTAGTGCCGATGTGCGCTGCTGAAGACAGGAAAAAAAATTTTGAAGCAACTACAAAACATCCTAGAGCACCAAAAATTCTCTTCAGTATGTTTTGCATTCCATTGCATGACCTTTCCTTAAATTTCCAGATGGCAATAACAACATTATGAACCAAAAAAGCTTGTGTATCTCTTGAAGATTATAATATTTCTAAAGAAAACTGATTTTGAAATCTTACATTATATTGATGACTTCAGTACAGTTGAAGAATTCTAAAGAGCTGCTAGTCAACCAAGTTGGAAAAAGAATCATTTAGGAAAAAGACCATATTATAAAAGCTGGATATATTCTACACGTGTACCAACAACTTGCCTCTGGTCTGCAAGTGTGCACTGTTTGTATCGGAATTGCTAGTCTGCAACCAAAAATAGATACACGAACTGTAATAAATCACCATTTTTAAACAGTGTAAGTATGCCTGCTATTTCCTGTTAACAAATGCAGAATGCAAACGTATTTACAACATTATCTGGATGCAGATGCATGCCACTAACTTATGTCAGAACTGAAGGACTTGCAGAAGTGATTTTAGGACTGCTGAGCATCTAGAACCAGTTCAGATCAAGTGGATCTGCAAGACAGTGTTTAAACAGCTGGTCCTAAAGCAGCAAACTTGTCTGCCAGAAGCAACCTGAAAAAAACCCACAATAAAACAAACCAAAACCAACAAATAACAAGGTGTAATGAGAACGTAACTCTAGCTTTCTGTTGCGTAAAGACACAATACATCCTTTCAGCTAAATACAGCTTATTAGATGAAGCTGTAAAAAGCACAAACTTTAGAAGCTACTTGTCAATCATGTGTTTCCCATTTATCCCTTAGGGTGCCCACCTGCGTGTCTCAAGCATTAATTTGCTTTTGTCCTGGGTAGACAAAACCAAGCTTTCCTTAGGTCTGCTCATTTTCAGACCAATTGTCAGTTATTGCCCAACCGCAATAATTTGAAAGTCAGTAACTATTGCTCATATAATAGCCAATAAGCATTTCTGTCAAATCCCTCAATATTCAGCATGGAAGGAAGCTGGACAAACAATATTTGCTATATTAATTCATATTTGTGCCTCAGGTTACTTAAGAGTCATACCTTTCACATAACACCGATTTAAAACAAACAACAACAACAACAACAAAGAAAATGTTAACAGCTGAAGAGAGTAAATAATTCCTAAACTGAAGAGTCTGTCTCACATAATTTTTACTGGCACTGCTCAGAAGCTGCTTTGGAAGGGTGTCTACTCATGACACTAGGTGTCTGGAATAAGGGGTCCTTATGAAGCTGAAGTTCATTAAAATAATACACTTAGATTTAAGCAATCACTACAGGAATAGAGGATATTTCAGAAAAAACCTACAGAACAAACAAGTTTAGGGACAAGCAAAGCTGTACAAAACCCTTTGTGGTTTGCCACTGAAGTTAAGCAAAGTTTGACAGATGCAACTCAGCTGGACACCTTTCCACAATCAACATATTGAAAACAGAGTGGAAATGCCAACTGTATAAAAACTACATGGAATATTTCATACCAAATACTCCAAGTACTTTTCATTATTTAACTTTTATTTGAGACACACATTGTTGTAAAAAAGTTCACAGGGAATAATAAAACCATTGGAGTGTGAAGGTTTTTTAGGGGTTGGGTTTGGTTTTTTTGTCTATACACATCAATACACAGGTAATGATTAGGTCTGACAAGTTAACCACATGACAAGTTCACATTTATCTGCAGAAGCTTTTCACATTACACCATACCAGACATAAAATGTGTTTAAACACACAAAGTAGAACACTATTTCAAAATTGAGCATTTTCCTCAAGGACTATACCTTCTATTCTGAATTTAGTAGCTATATAGCATTAAAATAACTATAATTGAAGTTTTATTTGCAAAAATGTTCGTAAGGCCATAGGAATGCACTAAAATACTTAAATTCACCAGAAACAAGAAAAATCAATGGAAATCCTGCTTTTGCGGAAGAAAGAAATACAAGTTTTATTTATAAGAATGAGTATGGCATAAGCAGTTCAGTGAATGGAGGAGAAAAAAGACCTATTATCATCTACATACCAATCCTTAAGAAGTTTAACGCTGCAAAATTTCAGTTACAGTAATAGATAACCAAACAACAGCTGCATTTTCACAAATAACACATTTATGCATTTTACATATTATTCATGTACTTTCAAATCATTATCCATTCACAATATTTTAATGTGATATGTATATTCAAGACTTCTTTATTCACTTGTGAAAATGATCCACTTAATTCACTTGACTTCAGCAGACTAGTATGGGAAAGGTACTTACAATGGGAAATACTTTCTGTAAAAAGAACTACAGGTCTCAAAAGTCAGTTAGCATTTTTGAGACTGTTTGAAACCACCAAAAAGAAAAGTGAGCTGCATTAAGTTTCATGAGTGGTTTAAGCTTGAGCAATAACAGAACTTCCAGACAGCAGGTAAATCAAATATTCTGTATACACTCAACAAAAACTTCTTGTGCATGTTTTGCTGAGCACAGACTGAAAGCCAAAACTGCAAAGCACTGAGACCAGTTTGGGTTTTGTTTGGCTTTTTTTTTTTTTTAAACCATTTAGAAAAATATTGGTCAAGATATAGTGCACAGACACGGGGCTGAGGGAAAGATTTCATAAAACACAATAGCATAAGCAGCATTTTAGTTTTACTGAAAAATGTCTGCCTTTTCTGAAAGGTTAATGGCAATTTCTGGAACAAAACAGAAATACATTTACTGCTTAATGAATAATAATATGACTTTCATTCTAATGGACATTAGAATACTAACTAGTTGACTGAGGTATAGTTAAGAGTCCTTCAAAATTTAGATTATATAGTCTTGAGCAAAGTAGCAACAGAGACTGCACAAACCAATCATGGTGATATTTGAAAAGCCTGTAGTACCCAGCATCTGATGCATAGGCAGAACATACCATTTATCATCACCCCCTTGTCTAAAGGAAAAATATAGCTAAAAAAATTCCCAATAAAACATACAGCTGATTTGCACACTAAGATACAGCACATTTTTCAGTGTCTGACAAGGCAGACTGTACACAGAAAGAGGTCTATACTGACCAAAAGTTAGCACACCGATAAAGTGCAGCCACTCAGCCATTTAATACTGCTGGAGAAGAGGGGTGGGGCAAAACAACAAAAAAAGAGAGATAAATCTGCATTTTACCTTATCCATAAGACCACATGAAATTAGAAATCTTCAGTTTCAGCAGGGGACAACAAAAATGCATTAAATTCTTCTACAAATAGAAAAAGATGAACTTTACATGAACATTAAGCAAAGTGAAATATTTACCGCATTATTTTATCATGCATAAAGTGAATTTCCTATGGTCTTACCTCACATTTATGTACAGTTTAGCACAGCTAAATGTAAGAAAATAGCAAGTTTTTTTTCTCCCTCCTCCCCCCCGCCCCGCCCAGAACAGATACCCCAATTCGCTGCTGCTTCAAGAAGCACTTCATAGACTCTACTACTTACAGGCTCTTTGAAAGGGAAGTTCATGGAGACTAATATTGAATGAACATTTAACCACGCAGTGAAGACAGGAAAAACAATACAAAGCATTCTGTAAACGGTGTCAAACACACAACATGTCAGTTTTGGTTTGCAGACAACCCCTGAGATAAAAATCAAAGTATTACGACACCAAATAAGTCAGAGGTAAATTACTGAAAATAAACATTCATAATTGGTGTCACAACACTTTCTGTATAGAAGCACTTTTTTTAACCATACAGAAAACAGAACTGCTTTAGCCTGTCCAAGAAAAATATCAAGGGTAGACAACAGAGCAGTTAGGGTTGTTTTGTTTTTTCACTAAACCTTGTTTCCATGAAGATTTTTCTGTTTTAGTGCAGCAATGGCAGTTTATGAGATTCACCATCTAGTTACAGTAACTATTTCTATTAAACTACATGTGGGGACAGGTTGATAACCACTTAAAACTTCATGGAACCAGCTACTAATGTTAAAACTTTTAAAATCAAAAGTCTTTAAGTCTTACACTATTGGCCTGTTCACTTTCAAAATATTTACAACAGACCCAGAGATGACAGATAAAGTACTTGACACCACAAAACAAAGCTGTTACCTGTGGTAGCAACCTACTCACTGTTCACAACTCTAGACAATGTAGTGAAGCGAAAGCTAGCAGTCAGACATTAACGTTGACAATGACAGAATGCACCTATCCCCTAATAAGAAACATGCTGGACACAAACTTGTAGTTAAAGCTTACAATGGTCCAAGTTTGGCACATCAATGGAACTAAAGCACCTGTTTTAATTACCCATAGAATAAATTTTTCAGAAGACAATAAAAAAAGTAGTAGAACAAAGACTAGGTTATTCAATGCTCAGTTGAGTAAAAAAAGGCAACTACGTTTCAACTCTGCTTCTAACAGTCTAGGTCACTGTACCAGTTTTTGATGAGAAAATAACTGCTTGAGCAGACCAAAGAGGGCTTCACACATTCAGCATGAACTGCATAACTAATAGTACATTATAGCCCCAATGTGACCATTTCCTTAGTGCCAGAACTTGATAAAATTTAGCAACTGCACAGGAAACTTTCTGGACACCTCTGTTATCAAGGGTCAATGTTCATAGACATCAACAAACTATGCTTAGAATTACAGTAGAAATGGACGTCACCTTCAGAAGTAGTCATTTCTGAACAAATGGATCCACAAAGAGACTACTCAGAACACATGCATTCAGCTTCTACAAGCCACTTAAGTGATAGCAATGAGGCCAATTTGTGACAATGATTTCAAATCCAGAGTGTACTTCCTTATCAGAAACAAAAAAGGTGCAGACAGTTTGAGCTAACAAAGGGAAATTAAGTGAGGAAAGACACTGTGTTTATTCAAATAACTGAAAGGTGCATCTGTGAATCAGACAGTGACTGGCAAGAACACAACTTTGCTAAGTCTGGTAAAGAAAGAAAAGCAACATACTACATTCAGAATAGAAGCCATAGCTTCTGCATGAACAGATTTGTGCATCTAAGAGACAAAATCCATACAAATTGCTAAATGCCAATTGTTACAGTAGTTCTCACCACTAGAGTGTCAACACCCATACTGCAGTCATGGCCACAAGTATACAGCATAGCAAATAATGGAAGCGAGACTTAATTTTTCCCCTGGCCCTCCTGCTTGAAAATAAATTTGTTTAGAAAGAGAAAGAAAAAACTGCACAAATCTGTTAAGAATCTTTCTTACAAGTCAAACTGTGCAAATACAAATGTAAGATTGTGCTGTAACAGGCAGTAAGAGGCCAATATGGATGTGCAAAGTTAAAAGAAACATAGCAGCTTTTGCAACAGGCAATAAAACAGAAAGTAAAAAAGGAAAACAAGTTAACTCTTGCATTTGTGTCTCCACTTCATAGCTTCCATATCTGAGAAAGAAGAGCCTGACAGGTCAATAGGCTTAGTGAGCAAAATCCACTCGGTATTTTGTGTATTGCAGTCTACGTTCAATGGAGCTCTCAGCAGCAGCTTGGTGGTATTATTTCTGAGGCTTTGTGACCCTGTGCTTTCAAAGAAGCAGAAAAGGTTCTAAGTGTGCTGCAGTCTATCATTAGAAGTTCATCAAAGTAGCGTGCATCGAAAGAAGCTGCTCTTCTTAGAACGATTTTCTGTTATTTTTACTGGCCCACCTGCCCCTGATGAACTGTTGTCATTCTGGAAGAGAAAAAAAAGTACCAGCATCGTAAAATGCAGAAAAAATAAGTCCAGCTTTCCTACTTTCCCTCCCCACTTCCCCTCCCTGCAAAGCAGTAACCAAAGCACAGGTCTGTTACAACTTGAACTCCTCAATTATCCAGACTCTGTTAATCACTCAATAAAACTGCCTATTTTAAAAAGAAACATTTATCCAACAATCCAGATCTCAAATATTAGCTGAAGGAATCATTACATAATGCAGCGTTTAATAAAGCAAGGATCACACTGTTATATTTCGAAAGAACACATCAGTTTCAGGCTGCCCAATGTTAATGTTCATGCAAAATAAAGACCAATTACACACTGATGTGTAATAAAGTATGATAAAGCACTGTTTGCTCAAATTTGATCTAGCATCCATTGTAATCCCCAGGAATTTTTTGGTAGGGCTACTGTTCAGCCAGTTATTATAGCAGTCATTTCAACATATCTACTTTGTAGGCCAACTGGAAATACAAACCATTTTTCTGTTGAGCTTTGTCATAATGTCCCGTGCAAGTGTGAAAAATGCCTGGTGAGGAGCAGAAATAAAAAAAAAAAAGTTAGTCACAAGACACATTAAAGACAAGATAGATTTGGAGTAGCTATACACACTGAAAATACAGTATTCTGTAGGCAACTGCCAGCACTTTGAGCTGCAAGTTTCTCTATGTACAGTAGCTGTTTACTTCAAACTGCGATAAGTATGCTTTAGAAGGAAAAACTATTTATTTTTAGTCTTCATCCCTCCAATCTTTGAAGCAAGTAAACAGACTTTCCCATCATGTACCTCTTGGGCAGGGGGAAAAAAAAAAATCTAATTAATAAGTTAGGTACGTTTTATTAGGAGACTATTGCTATTCACCGTTGGTATTAGCTGCTAATGTTCACACTTTCATTGTCTGCTGTAAGAATCACAATGACACTGTGAATAGGTCAAGCACTATTCCAGACAGTAAGTCTATACTAACTATATTGTGTAACAATCATCCTGCAATCAGAAAAAAATGCTTGGCTGGCACAGGATCAGTTATGTTATTTTAAAGTAACAGTCTCTTCAATTTTCTAGTTAATTTGTTAGTGGAATGATCTGAATTAAGTACATTCCAGCAATACAAATGGAAAGGCTTTTAGGTTATTAGGTACAGGAACAATGTTTAAGAACAAATCTGCCTTATGTGAATGAATGTATCTTCATGTAATTGCCTTTTAATATCATATTATTTTCTTGTCCACACTTTTCATAGAGTTAAGATCCTGCCACCACCCTCCCTGAGATGACAGAGTGATGCATGGTAAGACAGACTGGAGTTGAGCCTCTTCCTTCCAATTCTATTCCTTTACAGTCTCATAAATAGGGATCTTGCATTTTTCACATAAAATTTATTTGCAAGAAAACAGATTGCAAGTCTATAGATTATTATAAGCCTCTTCCTCCTCTAATATCAGCTGACAATCTATGCTGATGTTCCAAGTTAATGTACAAATATTCAGTCCCATCTGCATAGCACATATTTAGTAGTAAACTGAACTCCTTGATGCAGTAGCATGTCATTCTGAATCCAATACCCTGCACAAAGCATTGTTCTAAAATTAAACCTACTCACTGTCCAAAAGAGCTTGCAATTTAAGTAGCAAGGTACAGAAGACTAAAGCAACTGTTTGCTACAATAACAGTAAATCACTCTGTTAACAACCAATTGAAAAACAATTCCAGACATTACCAGATAACAAGAAATGCTGGATTTTAGATTAACTCTCCAAATATAACAAGATTGGTGGCCAAGGAGCACAGCTGGGACTTCAGGTTCCAGATCAGGTCAGAATCCCAGAAGATTATGAAACACGCCTCCATAATAGCAGTTCAAGAAATACACTTAAGTGTAACACCCATTTCTTACCTCTTCCACATTTATGCTGGATTTGGCACTTGTCTCCAAAAATTTTATTCCATAATCAATTGCTAACTGCAAGAGAGGTTAAAGTTTTTCAGTGTTTTTGAAGTTCCTTTGTAAAATTGAATGTTTCACATAGGTTCATAATAGAATAGATGCTGTATGCTGCAGCAACTTTAAAAACAAAACCAAACAAGCTTCATTTCTGCTTTTCTCTTGCAAAAACATTAAAGTTACTGGACAATTAGACAAAATATTAGAACAGGCAACACCCTCATGTAAATTCAAAAGCAACAGAGAGATTAACTCCTTACAAAAAGACTTATTTAGGACCTAAAAGAACATTAAGATAGAATCTTCATTGATAGTGGTTTATGGACCAGATAATAACACACAATCATGTCACAAGTTGCATTTCTAGCAACTACACTACTTTAGCTGTGTACATGATAGATTATGTAGTATTCTTGCTTGCTTGTTTGTTCTGCCAAACTAATGACTTAAGCTTTAATAACAGTACTTGTGACGAGAGTAAGTAACCACTATGGCAAATTGAGTACAACATGATCAAACTACATACAAAGCTTTATATTGAGATTTAGAACACTTCATGCTATAGCAAAGGTCAACATTCTTTACAGGATCTTCCCCTCAAAACAACAGTACCATAAAGTTTCTTCAAACTTGAAGACAGTCAAGTGCTACTTAAAAACAAAACATCCAAACCTGGCATCCTGTAAAATATAAAAGTTTCTGAAATAAGATGTTTGAGGCCCATTATCTCTCCTATGACTAAAACATACCAAGTATTCAGCAGCCAAAATCCTATGAAAAGTAGGCTTCTAAATAAGGTAAATCACAAAAGTTTACCTTCTCCCCTTTTTCTTTTGAGACTTGTCTTTTTTCATTCATATCGCATTTGTTACCCAGGATCATTCTTTCCACATCTGAAGAGGCATGCTGAAAGAAGAAAAAGCAATCTCTCACAAACAAAGTGCATCATTATTCCAAAGAAACTTGTGTCAAACTCGTCCACAAACAAAAATTTGATTTTTGAAAAGTCAGGCATTACTGAGAAAGAGACTAACTTTTAAAACAGGCAATTTAATATTTAAATATTAAAATACACTGAAATAAATATTCCTAGATTAAATTTGCCTGAGTATTATTTCAGCTCAAATACAGTATCATGAGCTCTGTGCCAGGTTGTGCACATGCACCGGCATTTGGCTATTCTGGAAATGCAACGGTACACACTTTGAAATAAAGTGGTGCATGGACATCTGAGGTATTTGGCTGGAGTATCATTATACAATACATTTTAATTTTAAAAATAGATTATTAATAAAAGACTTATTAAGTAATAAGCATTCAGCAATAGAACTTCAACAAGAAAACTTTTCTAACCCAGTCACTATTGGATCAAATTGGTCACTAATACAGAAATTTTGCTTAAGAGACAAAGAACAATACTAAAGAAAAGCCCATGGATTTTATGCTTAAGAAAAAAAACAACCAAACAAAACAACAACCAAAAATCCCCCCAAAGCACAAAAAAACCCCTTCCCAACAAACCAGAAAGATTCTGTTACCTAACTACAGCTTAAATAAAATTAAGGTTTCTCCCCTAACCCTATCCCTACTTGACAGCATGTCCCATTAAACAATTTACAGTAAGTTAGCAGGAAGGAATCTTATCCAAGACCAAATGAAAAGGTCAAAAATCTTAATTGGACAAACACACAACACAGTAACAACTGAAATTAGACAGATCTGTCATCATCTCAGTGAAAGGCAGACACCCTAAGATCTTGCTCCTTCTCATTCCTTAAACATATCCAAAACAAAAAAAGAACAATGAAAGTCATAGTAAGAGAAGTTTCAAAACACTTTATGTTTACCTTTTTAGACTTAAGTTTTCGACCTTCTATCTCTAGATGAATGAGATAATATATGTTGGCTAGTATGATGAAGGTGAGTAATTACTTGATTATTCTTTGTCCCAGAGAAATCCTAAGATGCAACGAGTAAGAAGTACTTTCCAAAGCACCTACCTCCTCTATGTTTCTTATCCAGTTCTTTATATTGTCAAAAGACTTTTCATTTGTGATGTCATAAACCAGCATAATTCCCTAAATAAAATTCAGAAAATCTAGTTAGATGAGCTAGCACTACTGGTTGACTTTTGATGTATGCTGTTGATTTGATTATACTTGCAAGAAATTCAATGTACAACTTATGCCCCTATAATCCTTTCTTAAAGCATTTTGCCATTGCTTAGAATTTACCCAAAATATTACCATTTAACATCTTTTGCCACTGTCAGAGGTCACACTCACCACCCATATGAAATTATAAATTATAAATTATTAGCCTATAGCCAGGAAAGTTTAGAAATTCTACCAGAAGAGCAACCAACTTTGTTAAAGTCAAGTTGAAAAGTAGCAGCTTTAAGCAAAGATGACAAACCTGTGAGATCCAGTCTGCTGTGGCCTTCAGATAGTTATGTACATATACTAGTGTGGCCTCTCAACAATCAGCAAAGCATGGGAAAATACACAACAGCTGCATTAAAGACAGATTTGCCAGGTTCACCTCCATTCCTTATTGCCTTTTCAATCATTCCTCACAGGACAAAGAAAAGTCCTTGGTCATGCACTGGGAGGTGGGGAGACAACCATGACACTGCCAAAAACCTTTTTAAGTGACAGAAAGCTCTACCACAGAGCCACAACCATTATTCTTTCTCCCCATCCGACTCCGTAACAGTGGAGTTATTTGTCCACACAGTAAACCCACGAATGGAACAGATCTGTTCATGCAAAGTGATAAGAAAATGCAGTAGCAGCATAGCTAGAAATCAGCAAGTTGAAATTAGCAGTGTCCCAACATAAAGTATCTCAAATAACAGCATTAAGAACCACTACAAGCAGTTGTACCACAAAGAGTGCAGGTTCTGGGTGAATTATTTGACTTCAAGTCATTCTTAATGAAGGAAAAAGTAACAGTAGTTTTTGTAGGTGATTGTATTTCTAGCCCAGATTTTGCATTCTCTACTGGCTGAAGGAAAAGCATTTAGTGAAATACATTTTTAGTATTAATTCATTACCTATTTTTCAAAACTTCAAATGTTTAAAGGGGTTGATTGCATTAAAAGAAGTTGTCTAATGAAAGCTGGGGAATTTAGCTTCTGTAATATAATTAAAATTTCTGTAGATTATAGTAAAAAGACAGTAGAGCTTGAACTTTCATCACAAAAACAGGACTAGACAAAGTACCAGCAGGTTTAAAAAATGAAAACAAAAAAAACAAACCCCAAAACAAACCAACCACAAACTTTATTACCCTCATCTCAAGCCACAATTATCCAATCCTCCAGCTGAAGACTTACATGATATAACCTTAAGAAGAGCAAACTAGTTACAGCAGATGCACCTAATTTTTTTGAAGTAAGAGCACTCACCATGGCTCCTCTGTAGTAAGCTGTTGTGATCGTGCGGAATCTCTCCTGGCCTGCTGTATCCCTAAAATTCAGTGAAAACAAGTATTTGTTGGAGGTGATCTTTACACTCTTCTGTACTCAGAGATGTCTTTTTAAACACAGTAACAACGTACTGATACTCAGTCATCAAGAAAATATACCACTTGGAAGCTGTTGGCACATGTTTCTTCAGCCCTCAACATCTTCCTCACTCCCTCCCAAACTATACTACTTATACCAGTGGTTACAACAGCACCATAAATATGGCACAAAAGCATTTAAATTTCATGCAAGAAATAAAACTCGGCACTACACAGCCTTCCCTGGAATAATTAAAAAAGGCAGCTCTGATGCATCCGAGTCCTGCATTAAACAAAAATTAAAACATGCAGCAGTAAAGTATTTTAGGATAGTGCATTTTCACGTACAGTTAGCTATTAAAAATCAGCCACTGTACCTTAGTGCGCTGATATTTCATCCTAGATGACTTCAAAGCAGTATCTGTCTGTGAGTGAACAAGAGGACCAAAGTGTTTGGCTACTAGTCACACCTAAGGGGAACTGAACCCCAAAGGCCTGACAAAAAACAGCTTTTTGACTTACACTACAGACAGAAAATTTGTACCAACCACTTCTGGCACTTCATTTCCTTAGTCACAAGAATTCTGGCTCACATGCAAGTATTACAACTTTTTTTGTTAGAACCTGAGAAATCAGCAAGATCCCTATATTCACCAGTAGCACTTTAATAGTTTGGCATGTGTAATAATGCTACTCCAAAAATACTTATCTGCTGCTATCAGGAAGCTCAATCTCTACTAACACACCATGCAAGAAATGGGAGCATTATCACTCACCTGTTCCATCTGTGATTACAACTGGGTATCAAAGTATCAGAGAAGAATACATTTTTTTAGATTGCATATTTTAGTTTATAGCTATGGAGTTAATACTTCTCTTCCACACAGAAAAGCCAAAAGAGGACATACTTAAGAGGACAGCTTTTGATAAAATGGGAAGTTGCTGTAACATTTGCATGTGAACAGGCTATTTCCTGTGCTACTGAAGGAGAACCACTCCAAAAGCAAGCTAGAAGAAAGCATAAACCTTATGGACAGTCAATGAATAAAAGGTATGAAACTTCTGGTACACCCATGCTCAAAAGCTATGAGGTATTCCTGCTTAAAGATTAAGTCAATACTCACTGAAAACTTAAATTACTTTGGAAAACTTACCATATTTGTAGCTTGATTTTCTTTCCATCTAATTCTATTGTTCTGATCTTAAAGTCGATTCCTGCCAGAGAAAGAGCAGGTTTTGCAATAAATGAAAAGGAAGCGTCCGATTTCCTTTTGACTTTTTGGTAAGAGCAAGCTTAGGCAAAAGAATTATTCTGAAGTTGTCATTTCTTCCAAATAGTAGGAAGTGCTGAGGATGCACAAAGGTTTTCAGCTGCATCCAACATGTCAAAGATAAATTATTCTGCACAATGAAAATGGACCAAACTCAGACTCACTACTAGAGTTAGTGAAGATTATGAGAGGAAGATTTAATCTCAAAATTCTTCCATTTTACACCGATAAGGTCACTAGTTTGAATGCATCTTTTTCTCACCTTTTGAGTAGCCAGTGCCATTCAAGTCAATTCCCTAGAACCTTTGCTGGCTCTGAGGAAAAAATGCATACTACAATCCCTCAGTTCCTTTTTAAAACTGGCACCTACTTTTGAAAACTTATGTTTAATGCATTCTAATCAGACATCACAGTAAAGGGTAAAGCATCACAGGAGATAAAAATCTGCTACACAGATAGTTACTGAAGGTGGCTGAAGTAGATCATGCATGGGACTTTGTCAGGAACACCAGTTTAGGAATAACTTAGATTTTCTAGGAAGCTCCAAGAGGTATCCAAAAACCTCTTCTCTCCTTTGCTTGCCTTACACTTCCACGTGTAAGACTCCCATCAGTTCTGAGACTGATTTTGAAGACAGATTTTAAGCCATGAGTGAGGGGAGGGGAGGAGAGGAAGAGAGAAGAGTGTATTCAGAAGGGCTTACTAGTGTCTTCTAGAGTTTAGAGGTTTAGAGGGATTAAATGGATCTATGAATCAAAGCCAAGATTTCCAAGCAGACTGGCCTTTACCCTGGACTATCTTAATTCACACATCTCTAAACCCATACTATAACATAGCTCAAATTGAGACTGCTCAAGTCCCACAATGTGACTGACAGATTCCTGAATCCCAGGACAGCCACCCTTCTGTACCCCCCAGTTAATCTTTTTTTAAACGAATGCCTCATTTTTTTCTTCACTGAATCTGATTAAATAGTTACTTGATATTTAGTCATAGTTTGCAAGAGATTTTGGGGGGGAGCAGGGTAGGCTATTTTATTTCATTTCTTCTTTCCTCAGATGTATTTTAAGTGACAATTATCAAGAGTATCTTGATTTGGAAAATGCTGTTTCTAGCTTTAAGAATTCATCCATCACTTAAACAGGAAGCTACGGAATCTTTTTAATATCCTACAGCAGCATTTGACTATGAAATATAGACATTCATTAACTATTTGAATTTCATTCTTCTCACATGCGATATTAATTTTAATATACTGAAGTTTCACACCAAGTTTCAGCCACTTAATCTTGATGCACCATGGATATGTATTTTAGCCCACTAGTTAGAATACAAATTACAAGCAGAAATATCACATCAGCACTTTTAACAGCACACGAAATTAACTGCATTAATTTAAAATGCTATGACTACTGCTACAATTACAATTTCCCAAGATTCACTAGTAGATTTATAGGCAAAAAAATTAATTTGCATTCTTCTAAAAATAACGTAAGAGTGACGTATACTTTAAGAAAATCCTTATTATATGTAACCAAAGTTTGGCAAGTGTTTCCATTCTACATTTGGTAAGATTTTGCATCTCCCTTGAAAAGATTTTTCTCTCAATGAGGAGCAGCACCTGCTGAAATCAGATAATTGTATTCAGGTCTGAAAACTAATGAGCTTTGCTCTGAACTGGCCTCAAAGTTTATAAAAGCACAAATACAGATTTTTCTGGAAACGGTGTTGTATCATGGACAACAGCAAATTATATTAGCTTTAAAAGTTCTTCTGTGTCTAGGCCTGAAGTCTCAGAATTAAGTATAGCAACCATCAGGGAAACTACACTCAGAGACTACTGTGGTTTAAAGATAATTCTGTATGTACTGCCAGCTACTGAAGCTAAGACACATCAGCATGAACAGTAAAAGACTCTGTAGGGATCATTTTCTGAGAAAGTAAGCTTACACTACAGTTAAGGTATCTATGTGCACCAACCCATGTACTTGCACAGACTGGTTTCTTGTGGTTAGTCGTTTCCCTCACAGTAGCAAAATGATTTATACAACCATTCCTTTGATATTTTCTAAAATTCAGGGTCTGCACAAAAAAAATCTTCTTGGAACCTAAGACTTCTCGTAGGAACTTCACCAAAATTCTCAAATAAAGATGAATTGCAAAGCTAAAAGAAGAATATAAAGGGGAAGGCCATAAATACCTCTGCTACCATACCAAGAAGTTTAATAAATGCAACTTTTTAGAGGCTAAAATGAACTAGAAAGTTGTGTGTCTTTTGTTCTTTCACTTCAGTAACAGGAAGTGGTGAGCTGCAAACATTTGCAGAGCAAGCCTGGTGACGTGCTACCACTTCCTGCCAAGTACACTTGCATGGCTAAGTACAAGCAATGTTTTTGTTACAGTTTAATTTAAAATATGCCATGTAAAACACTCCAATGACTATAGCATTTCAAAAGTAATTATTGACAGAAAATTTCCTTTATCAATTTATTCTTATTTTGCACAGTCACACACTGAGATACAAAAGTTTTAAAAAGATACTTGGGTCTAATAAAGAAGAGTAATTTGCAAATCAGAAAGTTTGACTGCAAAGGATCACATAGCTTTCACCGTTTTAAAATGCAATATGCAATGCTGTTCTCTCCAGTAGGGAGAAAAAGCCCAGAAACATTTGGATGTCCATCTGAAATTAAGTTTTAGAAGCTTTTAGAAAACACAGACCTAGAGTAACTCTTAAAATGCAAAGACTAACAAGGTAATTATTTTTAACTGCTAAAGTGGAGTTGCCACACAGAAGTTTGACACACTGGTGTCCATCTAGCAAGTCAGTACATATTAGATAAGGATAAAAGAGCATCTGTTACAGGAATCAAATTTGCAGTCTGCATGGATGAAGTCCAAGTTGAGACCTGAACTGTGCATTGATTAGGACTGTAATTGCTTGTATTTCCCTTGCACCATGGGGTAAAAGTAGATGAGGGCTTATCGTTCTTCAAAATCCTTTTCAGATCCTTGCTAACTATAGGCCAGGGATGCATCCTCTCTCCTCACTTTACTGAGGGTATTTTCTCCCATAGCTCCCAACAAAACTCTATCATTAGCGTCACATAAAGACCCACACAAAATCCATGAGAGCTGCACGTTGCCATATTTATCTTGTACCACTACGCAAAGCTTAATAAAATCCACCGGCTACGGTATGCTGTTGTCCAACACCACGCAGCCAAATATCAGAGGCCAGGAAGACCGGCCTCACCTAGGCTGCTTTTGATTTAAGCCAAGAAGTCATGTTCATCTCATACACCAGAAGCTCTTCTGTCACTACTTCTTCCACTAGTCCGCTCTCTAGTTACATGTTCCTTCTTATTCCACCCTGGGCAGATTGTACCCACAATTAAGCTGTAATGCAACCACTTTAAAGAGACATTGGAAAATGTTCCAAAAAGCTGCGTTACAATACTGAATATACAGGAGTGACCAGCAGTACGTATTGAGAGGTTCCTTTTCCTGCTTCAGTACCAATAGTTTTCTACTATGAACCTTGACAAAACTAGCCTGACACAGTTCTTGCGGGAATGTAAGGACAAACTGAGCAGAGATGCTGAAACAGTTCATTTTGCTACTTTAGTTTTTGGAACAGTAGCTTACTCTCAAAGCATCACTGTTACTCTTTTGTTCTCCCCTCACCCATGATATTAACCCTGTAGTCATCAGAGCTAGTATCTCAGTTTTTTCCATGCTACAGAATCAGTTTCAGCTAAGTCTCCACTACAACTTTTCCCTACGCAGTACCACTGTTTGGACTTACAGATTGTCTTGTTTCTTCTTTTAAACAAAATTTCTGTTGCAGAAAATGCTACAGCACAAAGAAACCAAACCAAAGGATTCTAGCTGGAGCAAGTAAACTGTTAGAATAGTATCAAAAAATACTTCCTGAAGGGAAAGGTTTCTCTGGTCTTCTGTCTGCTTAGCAAGAAGGTACTGGAAGGGCCATGTTCTTGAATAATACAAGTAGTGAAAGATAGACAGAAAAGAACCTGAAGGTGCAGAAGTCCATGAGACCTGATGGGATGCATCCACAGGTCCTGAGGGAACTGGCAGAATCTTTAAGGTCCCTTCCAACCCAAAGCATTCTATGATTCTATGAAGTTGCAAAGCCACTATCCGTCATATTTGAGAAGTCCTGGCAGTCTGGTGAAGTTCCCACAGACTGGAAAAAGGGGAACATAACCTCCATTTTTAAAAATGGTAACAAGGAAGACCCGGGAAACTACAGGCTGGTCAGTCTCACCTCAGTGCCAGGCAAGATCATGGAGCAGATACTCCTAGAAACTATGCTAAGGCACATGGAGAATGAGAAGATGACTGATGACAACCAACATGGCTTCACCAAGGGCAAATCGTGCCTGACCAATCTGGTGGCCTTTTATAACAGGGTTACAACATTGGTGGATAAGGCTAAAGCAACTGATGTCATCTACCTCGACTTGTTCAAGGCCTTTGAGACTGTCCCACATGGCATCCTTGTCCCCAAATTGGAAGCATGTGGGTTTGATGGCTGGACCACTCGGTGGATAAGGAACTGGCTGGATGGCTGCACTCAAAGAGTTGTGGTCAACAGCTCAAAGTCCAAGTGGAAACCAGTGACGAGTGGTGTCCCTCAAGGTTCGGTATTGGGACCGGTGCTCTTCAACATCTTTTTCAGAGACATGGACAGTGGGATTGAGTGCACCCTCAGCAAGTTTGCTGACAACACCAAGCTGAGTGTACTCAATGTACTAGGATTTCAGATTGTTTAGGGGTTTTGTTTGTTGTTTTTTTAAATATACAAGCCAAGGGAATTTTAAAAAGTTATTAAACACCAAAAATTGGCAAGGATGCTATGAAAAAATTAATAGCTGATTTGCCTGCTAGAGAAAGTCTCATTTTAGACCCATCTATCAAAGAA